TATCAGCCACTGCAAAAACATACCAAATGGTAAAGACCAACAATGCAATGAAGAAATGGGGTCAACTAATGGGCACAACAACCAACCAGTAGCAAAAGGCAGGATCAAATTCAAACATACCAATATTAACATTAAATGTAAATGGCTGAAATGCCCCAATCAAAAGACATGGGCTGGCAAACTGGATAAAAAGTCATGACCCATCAGTGTGCTGTATTCAGGCAACCCATCTCACATGCAAAAACCCACACAGATTCAAAATAAAGGGATGAAAGAAGATTTACCAAGCAACTGGAGAGCAGAAAAAGGTAGGGGTTGCAATCCTAGTTCCTGATAAAATGGACTTTAAACCAACAAAGATCGAAAGAGACAAAGAAAGTCATTACATAATGGTAAAAGGATCAATGCATCAAGAAGAGCTAACTATTCTAAATACATATGCAACCAATACAGGAGCACCCAGATAAATAAAGCAAGTTCTTAATGACCTACAAAGAGACTTAGACTCCTGCACAATAGTGGGAGACTTTAACACTCCACTGTCAATATTAGACCAATCAATGAGACAGAAAATCAACAAGGATATCCAGGACTTGAACACAGATCTGGACCAAGAGGACCTAATAGACATCTACAGAACTCTCCACCCCAAATCCACAGAATATACATTCTTCTCAGTACCATATTGCACTTACTCTAAAATTGACCACATAATTGGAAGTAAATCACTCCTCAGCACATGCAAAAGAACAGAAATCATAACAAACAGTCTCTCAGATCACAATGCAATCAAATTAGAACTCAGGATTAAGAAATTCACTCAAAACCACACAACTACATGGAAACTGAACAACTTGCTCCTGAATGGTAAATGGATAAACCATGAAATGAAGGCAGAAATAAAAATGTTCCTTGAAACCAATGAGAATGAAGACACAACACACCAGAATCTCTGGAACATATTTAAAGCAGTGTCTAGAAGGAAATTTATAGCAATAAATACCCACATGAGAAGTGAGCAAAGATCTAAAATCTATACCCTATCATTAAAATTGAAAAAAGCTAGAGGAGCAAGATAAAAAAAACTCAAAAGCTAGCATAAGACAGGAAATAACTAAGATCAGAACAGAACTGAAGGAGATAAAGACACACAAAAAAAACCCTTCAAAAAATCAATAAATCCAGGAGCTGGTGTTTTGAAAAGATCAACAAAATAGACCACTAGCCAGACTAATAAAAAGGAAAAAAAGATAATAATTGAATAGATGCAATAAAAAACAATAAAGAGGAGATCACCACTGATTCCACAGAAATACAAACCATCATCCGATAATACTAAAAACAGCCCTATGCACATAAACCAGTAAATCCGGAAGAAATGGATAAATTCCTGGACATTTGCACCCTCCCATGACTAAACCAGAAATAAGTTGAAATCTGAATAGATCAATAACAAGGTCTGAAGTTGAGGCAACAATTAATAGCCTACCAACCAAAAAATCCAGGTCCAGACGGATTCACAGCCGAATTCTACCAGATGTACAAAAAGGAGCTGGTACTATTCCTTCTGAAATTATTCTAAACAATACACAAAGAAGGAATCCTCCCTAACTCATTTTATGAGACCAACATCATCCTGATACGAAAACCTGACAGAGACATAACTAAAAAAGAAAACTTCAGTCCAATATCTGTGATGAACATCGATGCAAAAATCTTCAATAAAATACTGGCAAACTGAATGCAACAGCACATCAAAATGCTTATCCATCACAATCAAGTAGGCTTCTCCTGGGGATGCAAGGCTGGCTCAACATACCCAAATCTATAAATGTAATCCATCACATAAACAGAACCAAATACAAAAAACACATGATTATCTCTATAGATGCAGAGAAGGCCTTTGACAAAATTCAACAGCCCTTTATGTTAAAAACCCTCAATAAACTAGTTATCAGTGAAATGTGTCTCAAAATAATAAAAGCTATTTACAACAAACCCACAGCCAATATCATATTGAACAGGCAAAAACTGGAAGCATTCCCTTTGACAATTGGCACTAGACAAGGATGCCCTCTCTCACCACTCCTATTCAGTATAGTATTGGATGTTCTAGCCAGAGCAATTAGGCAAGAAAAAGAAATAAAACCTATTCAATTAGGAAAACAGGAAGTCAAATTGTCTCTATTTGCAGATGGCATGATCATATATTTAGAAGACCCCATCGTCTCAGCCCAAAACCTCCTCAAGCTGATAAGCAACTTCAGCAAAGTCTCAGTATACAAAATCAATGTGCAGAAATCACAAGCATTCCTATACACCAATAACAGACTAAAAGAGAGCCAAATCATGAATGAACTCTCATTCACAATTGCTACAAAGAGAATAAAATACCTAGGAATACAACTAGCAAAGGATGTAAAGGACCTCTTCAAGGAGAACTACAAACCACTGCTCAACAAAATAAGAGAGGACACAAACAGACGGAAAAACATCCCATGCTCATTGATAGGCAGAATCAATATTGTGAAAATGGTCATACTGCCCAAAGTAATTTATAGATTCAACACTATCCCCATCAAGCTACCATCGACCTTCACATAACTGGAAAAAAAAAAACACTTTAAACTTCATATGGAACCAAAAGAGAGCCTACATAGCCAAGACAATCCTAAGTAAAAAGAACAAAGCTGGAGGCATCACGTTACCAGACTTGAAATTATACTACAAGGCTACAGTAATCAAAACAGCATGGTACTGGTAACAAAACAGAGATATAGACCAATGGAACAGAACAAAGGTCTTGGAAACAATGCCATACATCTACAACCATCTGATCTTTGACAAAACTAGCAAAAAAAGGCAATGGGGAAAGGATTCCATGTTCAATAAACGGTGTGGGGAAAACTGGCTAGCCATGTGCAGAAAGCTGAAACTGGACCCCTTCTTGACACCTTACACTAAGATTAACTCCAGATGGATTAAAGACTTAAACATAAGACCTAACACCATAAAAACCCTAGAAAAAAACCTAGGCAATACCATTCAGGACATAGGCATAGGTAAGGACTTCATGACTAAAACACCAAAAGCAATGGCAACAAAAGCCAAAATAGACAAATGGGATCTAATTAAACTTAAAGAGTTTCTGCACAGCAAAAGAGACAATCATTAGAGTGCACTGGATAAAAATGTTTTCAACCTACCCATCTGACAAAGGGTTAATATTCAGAATCTACAAAGAACTAAGCAGATTTACAAGAAAAAAAACACATAACCCCATCAAAAAGTGGGTGAAGGATATGAACAGACACTTTTCAAAGTAAGACATATATGAGGCCAACAAACATATGAAAAAATGCTTATCATCACTGGTCATTAGAGAAATCCAAATCAAAACCATATTGAGATACCATCTCACAGCAGTTAGAATGGTGTTCATTAAAAAATCTGGAGACAACAGATGCTGAAGAGGATGTGGAAAAAAAGGAACACTTTTACACTGTTGGTGGGAGTGTAAATTAGTTCAACTATTGTGGAAGACAGTGTGGCAATTCCTCCAGGATTTAGAAGTAGAAATTCCATTTGATCCAGCAATTCCATTACTGGGTATATACCCAAAGGATTATAAATTGTTCTATTATAAAGACACATGCACATGTATCTTCATTGCAGTGCTGTTTACCATAGCAAAGACCTGGAAGCAACCCAAATGCCCATCAATAATAGACTGAAGAAAGAAAATGTGGCACATGTACACCATGGCATACTATACAGCCATAAAAAACAATGAGTTCATGTCCTTTGTAGGGACATGGATGAATCTGTAAACCATCATTCTCAGCAAACTGACACAAGAACAGAAAACCAAACATTGCATGTTCTCACTCATAGGTGGGTGTTGAACAATGAGAACATGTGGCACAGGGAGGGGAACATCACACACTGGGATAGGTTGTGGGATGGGGGGCTAGGGGAGGGACAGCGGGGGGCAGGGAGGCTGGGGAGGGAAAACACTGGAAGAAATGCTATGGTTATGTGTGTACCTATGCAACAACCCTTCAGAATGTGCACATGTACCCTAGAGCTTAAAGCACAATAAAAAAGAAGAAAATGGTCCACAATTAGGGACAATCAAGAAATCATTCTCCTGTTTTTACATTATTATCCTTAACAGTCATAAGTGATAGTCTATTTTTACCAGTGGAAACCATTGGAATTTCACAAGAACTGCATGTATAAATTTCTGTGATATTCTAAGTCATTTACTTTATCATTATAAATATAATCATTTTTAATAGTAATTGAGTGCCTTCAATGTGCAGCAATTGCAAACTGAATGACAAAAATACAACATGAGCATAGCAGGGATCAGTAAACTATTGCCTGTGGACCAAATCTGGCCTAACAGCTGTTTTTGTATATAAAGTTTTATTGGAACACAGCCTGATCCATTTGTTTACATGTAATCTATGGCTGCTTCCTGATATATTGGCAGAGTTGATAGTGGTAGAGATGGTATGGCCTGCAAACATTAAAATATTTGTGATCTAGTCCTTTATAGAAAAGATTTGCCAACCCCGCCTTTATAATAAAGGTGTTAAATGATTTTTATACCAATTTTAAGTATCAACACAAATTAAGAAGGAATTAAAAGAGAGGTTGCTGTACATTCAGCTCCTTTTAGGTTTATGCCTGATACTCCATGGACAAACAAGAAGTAGGATAAATGCTATACGTCTCTACAAGAAGTTCTTGCTGGACTATGGGAGCACTGCTATTCCCCACTGAGATAACAAAAACTCCCATTGGTAAGCCACCAAACAAATGCCTACCAGAATTGTATAATCTTCCTTCCTTTTAGAAGCTGGAAATTTTACCTTATGACTCATTTTTTGTTGTTGAAAATATTGTGATTCATATTATATTAATAAGCTTCACAACTAATTTAATAGTCATTATTGTTATAATTAAAATAGAAGAAAAAGCACATGTGTTACCTGTATGTTGTTCTTCAATCCAGACTTGCAAATACATGAAGAGGAGTAGCCCAGCTACTCCAAATATCAGCACAGAGAGGAAGACTTGTTTGGGGTTCATGACCATTTCAGATGGCTGCATTTCTCCTCATTTCAGAATCTGAAGACCACATGATTTGTTTTCCCATCAGGCTTCAGTCTTTTCTTGTTCTTTAAGGGCCCATTCCATAAGGTAACCTAGAATTTTAGAAAGAAATCTATATTGTACATGTCTCCTAACATCAATTCTCAAATATGGTATAAATATGCAGTATCTCAACAACACTGAAGAGTTAATGTGCACAGTAATGCTCTGAAGAAAGAAAAGGCTGTAGTAGATGTTTCTAGAATGGCAATTTTCTGTTGTATACTTTATCTTATCTAAGGACTGTATTATCCTACAGTTAATGAGTAAGATTCTAACATTTAATTAGGCAAAGTCTGGTCAGACTTTAGCCCTCCTATACTGTAAAGTGTAAAGTAAGGTTTGGGATAACTTAGAATAATTTCAAGTAGGAAGAATAACAGAATGGGTTGTTAAAGGATGGGTTTTGAGAAACATGTTTGTAGAATTATAAGGAAAAATCACTTCATTTCTTAAGAATATATGTAGTTCAAAAATGGAAGGTATAATCTATCATTTTTCTCTCATATAAAGTAACAGATTTCTTCAATTGAAAGGACACATTTGAAATCCTTCAGAGGCATAAAAAGATAAATATTAAAAGGCCAGGGTTCAAGGAACTCTCCCACAATAACATGAAATTATTGCAATCTACCTCAGATTACAGAAATCTACCTCAGTAATAAAGGGCTACTTTAAAAAAACATACTGAAATGACTTTCCTATAGAACAATCTCATTTAATATAGCATTAACCTTTTATTTTTTTTAAATCATATCCATTTTTGAGAATCTGATGAAAATATGAGCCCTTTCCTTAGAAAAGTATAATCACACACAAAATCTTGCATAAAATGCCAAAGTGTTCATGTACCTTCACTGAAACCCACATTAAAAATCCCTGTTCCCCAATGAGGACACATGGACGCAAGGAGGGGAATATCACACACCAGGGCCTGTTGGGGGGTGGGGAGCAAGGAGAGGGAGAGTATCAGGACAAATACCTAGTGCATTCAGGGCCTAAATCCTAAATGATGGGTTTATGGGTGCAGCAAACCACCATGGCACAGGTACACCTACGTAACAAACTTGCATGTTCTGCATGTGTATCCTGGCACTTAAATTAAAATAAAATTAAAAAACAAACAGAAGAATCCCTATTCCCAAGGAACTGCACAAAAGTATGCAGTAACCTGCATGGTGAACACACCTGGTTAGCAGCCTGACTAATGGGACCAAGGTCGTGGCTTTGTATCTAATGCTGGCCAGAAACCCTGGCTCTGTTCCTCAGCCACAGAACACAACTCCTCTGGGTGAGCTGAATAAATATTTCTTCAATAAGAAGAAATCATGCACATTGCAGCATCTAGAAGTTATCTCTTTTATTCCATTGCCTCAAAATCTTTGAGGAGAGTCTTTGAGGGAAAATATTGATTTTGTCTGTTTAAGAGGTGTTTGATGGGGTGCCAGTTAAAAGTTAAAAACTGCTATGGGAAATAGCTAGTCTGGTTACAGGATAATATTTAGCTATTCTTGGAAAAACCAATTTTCAGGGCTGGGCAAGGTGGCTCATGCCTGTAATCCTAGGCTGAGGCAGGAGGATTGCTTGACCCCAAGAATTCAAGACCAGCCTGGGCAGCATAGTGAGCCCTGTCTCTAAAAAACATAAAATATATTTTAAAATTAGCCCAGCGTGGTGCCATGTGCCTATAGTTCTAGCTAATGGAGAGCCTGAGGTGGGAGAATCACTTGAGCCCAGGATGGTGGAGGCTGTATGTAGTGAGCTGTGATCAGGCCACTGTACTTCAGCCTAGGCAACAGAGCAAGACTGTGTGTCAAATAAATAAATAAATAAATGAAAATTAAAAAAAAACTGTAGCTAATATCCATGGTACCACATTTAACTCTATGATTCTAGAATTGCTCATCTCTTAAAGGAGCTCACAAATTGACCTGAGAAATAAGAGCATGAGATGACTCAATGGAAGCCCTCCTGTCAACCTTGAGTTCCTATAGTCCTTAGGGCTGGCATTTCCCTTGAGCCTGAAAGGTTGTGGCTGCAGTGAGTGGTGATTGTGCCACTGTACTCCATCCTGGGCGTCAGAGCAAGATTCTGTCTCAAAAAAATACAAAACAAAATACCAATTCTCATACAAATGGTCTTCAAAGGTAATGTAAGAGGTCAGAATTAGAAGTGAATGTATTAAGTAATTAGAATGATTTCTTGATTAGAAAAAAAGTCATCAAATAGTTAAAAGTTTTTATGCAGAATGAGAAAAAATTCATGTCATGAATACTTCTTTTCCTTTTTTTCTTTTTTAAGATGGAGTCTCGCTCTGTCACCCAGGCTAGAATACAGTGGTGTGGTCTTAGCCCACTGCAACCTCCACCTCTCGGGTTCAAGCGATTCTCCTGCCTCAGACTCCTGAGTAGCTGGAACTACAGCTGCGAGCCACACCCAGCTAATTTCTGTATTTTTAGTAGAGACAGTGTTTTACCATATTGTCCAGGCTGGTCTTGAACTCCTGACCTCAGGTGACCTGTCTGCCTCAGGCTCCCAAAGTGCTGGGATTACAGGTGTGAGCCACTGAGCCTGGCCTAAATATTTATATATATATATATATACACACACACACACACATTTATTTATTTATTTATTTATTTATTTATTTATTTATTTATTTATTTATTTATTTTGAGATAGAGCTTCATTCTTGTTGCCCAGGCTGGAGTGCAATGGCACAATCTCGCCTCACTGCAACCTCTAACTCCTGAGTTCAAGTGATTATCCTGCCTCACCTCCCAAGTAGCTGAGGTAACAGGCATTTGCCACCATGCCTGGCTAATTTTGTATTTTTAGCAGAGATGGGATTTCTCCATTGTTGGTCAGGCTGGTCTGGAACTCCTGACCTCAGGTGATCCACCGACCTTGGCCTTCCAAAGTGCTGGGATTACAGGTGTGAGTCACCATGCCCGGACTTATTTTTCTTTATATTTTAACTCTGACCTGGAAGGGTCCAGAGTAAGATCTGCTTGTCAGTGCTACTTAAGACGCTTTCTCAAATTCACTTCTCTGAGTTCTGTGAGGAAGGAAAAACTGTTTGCTAGTGCTTTTGAGGATTTTAGGCATTTCCTTGATTCCGGTAGTAAAGAAAGTTTTTAAATAAGTAGAAGAGCCGAGAGTATTATCATACTGCTTATTTGATGGGTGATACTTTGCTCTTATATTGAATCTAAACTAAAATATTATGGGCTTCAAAATATATGTAACAAAGAAAGTTCCTAAGGGAGATTTGCAGTTTGAGGTGTTCCAGATTGAACCCCTCGAGGGAAGCGATGAAATGAAGCCAGCTTTTCTTCTCTTGAGGCTGCCATTAAACAAGGAACAGACATAATTCCCGGGTACATAAGAAGATTCAGATAGGAGGAAACCAGTTAAACAAAATCTAGTACTAACAAAAAAATAGTTGTTTACAAGAAGAAAGAGACTTTTACAATCTGTCTACATAATTAAAACTTATCTCACAAGAGAAAAGGCTAGAAGAAAACTTATAAATCAAAGCAGAGCCACAAACCCATGGGAATGGTGGGTGTAAGAGCCAAAAGGAGTACTCCTTGGGGGTTTGCAGAGGAAAATTATTACCTACAATGCTGGAAAAAGATTAAGCATTTGCCCTTCCTTTCTTCAGGAGATGTTACTAGCCTGTGACATATCCTCCTGGGTGAGAAAGCAGTAGAAAACCCATAATTGTTATTATGGCAGATGTGAGTAGGATTGAATGAATAAAGCCACAAGGCAGAAAGGCAATCTGGTGTAAAATGGAGAGATATGTTTGATTTTCTCCCATCTCAGTCCATTAACCCAACGTTGGCATTAGGAAATGGCTCTCATTAAACAAAGGTGAGGTGGTAGGAGCAGCAGGATTGCTTTAAGCAAATCTGAAGGTCAGCTGTGATGGGAAAACACACCTATTTGGAGATCATATATCTATCTCCAAGCCTGCGGAAAAAGTGCAGACTACTGGAGACTGAAATTACTTGGAATAATGCTGCTTTATGTATGAGCATTATACATTTCTACAGCCAAAGGCTTCCTGTATTTTGTATAACTCCTTCCTCTCCCTTCTCATAAACACAGTATCTTGAGCTTAATAGGTACTTAACAACTTGTTGCATTGAACTGAATTTGGAGCTCCAATAACAAAATACAGGTAATTGATATTTTATAGTTGTATTTGTAAATCCTTAGTTCTAACCTCCAAATGAAGAAATAGGGAGAAATACTAAAAGATAGGATCTATGTTTCTTTGTTAAAAATATTTTTATTTACATATCTTTTTATCTCTAACAATTATGAAAAGAAATATAACTATTTCATTCTGTAATCTCTTTTCCAAAAGTTTAAAAATTATTCTTTTAAGTAATTGTGGCTACAAACAGAAGTACATGGGGATTAAAGTATAGCAATAAATTACTTGCTGAAGGCAATTTACATATAGAAAATTATGAGTTTCCCAGTTTAGCAGACATTTATGATTTGAGGGAAGGAGTGGTGGGGTTTTGGGGAAGGTCAGTGTGGACCAAATGATGCAGGCAGTTTAGCATGAAGAAACCAGGAGTCGGGGGCTTGCTGTTCCCAGATGAGTGTTGGTAGCCCCCTTCTTCCACCTCCCACAGCAGCTGCACCATCCTCTATCTCCTTCCCACTCTCTGGGTAAACAGAGACCATCAGGGATGAACTTAACTCCCTCAAGTTTACTACCACCCCTTACAAGTTTACCTTCATCAGTCCACATCCACACATCTTTGCCTCTGTCTCTGAAAAGCAAGAGTCCTCACTTTTGCCTCCATCTTTTCCAGGTTCTGGTGAAACACAACTCCATCAACACCTCCAGTTCGATCTTATCCTCAACCTCTTTCCCCAGTGACTCCTTCCTCTGTAAAACCCTCCAGCAGTGGGGTGATTACCCCACTGCTATCATTCCCAGACAAGCTGCAAGACAGGTACTGACCTGACTGCCTTGGTGCCTCGTCTCCTGTTTATTTCTCAAGGTACCGCTGCCCAGGAGGTGGGA